ACACACACACACACACACACACACACACATCATGACGTGCAGTGACAAGATCTGCCGGTGGAACGTCTTAGGTGTACAGGGGGCGCTGCTCTCTCACTTCCTAGACCCCATTTACATCAACTCACTCGTCATTGGTGAGTGGGGCGCTCGCTCTCTCGCTCTCTCTCTCTCTCTTTCTCTCTCTCTCGCTCTCTCTCTCTCTCACTCTCTCTCTCACACACACACACACACACACATACACACATCATGACGTGCAGTGACAAGATCTGCCGGTGGAACGTCTTAGGTGTACAGGGGGCGCTGCTCTCTCACTTCCTAGACCCCATTTACATCAACTCACTCGTCATTGGTGAGTGGGGCGCTCGCTCTCTCGCTCTCTCTCTCTCTCTTTCTCTCTCTCTCGCTCTCTCTCTCTCTCACTCTCTCTCTCACACACACACACACACACACATACACACATCATGACGTGCAGTGACAAGATCTGCCGGTGGAACGTCTTAGTTGTACAGGGGGCGCTGCTCTCTCACTTCCTAGACCCCATCTACATCAACTCGCTCGTCATTGGTGAGTGGGATACACACACACACACACACGCACACACCATTGCTGCAACGCAAGAAAGAGTGAAGTGGAAGTCCTTGATCGCCTACCCCAGTCAGCAAGGCACCGGATACTGATGATGAGTATAATATTAATATTGTCTTGCAAACTTAAAACTCTTAACTAAAACTTTAACCCTATTCGTACGTCGTGTTTTACTATCGGATACATACGACGTGGGGAACTCTGTGCCATCTGTTTCCAAAGAGAAAATGTACTTGTAATCTGATCCGTACGCTTTACTTAGCAGTCTGTGAAACTGAATTTTTTAGAAATACTGAAAGTTTCAAAGAGATCTTCGCACTAGAAGTATTCTAAAATGTGAAAAGAATAAAAACCCGGGGGGGGGGGGAACAAAATGACCCCAGGACGTATGGATATGGTTGAAAAGAAACCCCAAAAAAGCTAAAGAATTAACAAAATTCCTTTTTTCTTTCCTCCTTTTTGTCACAGGCAGCCACACGGGCGACCAGCGTGGCCACGTCCCACGCGCGGTGAGCGGGCGTC